TCCTTTGAGTACCCTAAATCTCTACAGATAGAAAGGAAAATGGCTAAAAATGGTCTAGACACATAAATGATTGTGGGAAAGTAAATCTTCTGTTTATGTGGTACAATTGGTTGGCTCTCAATGAGTGCAGGGGGGACCTTGCTTAGTATTGCAAATAATGGACATGTGATAATCTTGCACTGATCAAAAGAACAATCCATAAAGAGCTTCATAGCAATTGATTCACCCTATTTGATTTCTGAGGTCTACCCCCAAAAATTCTATTGCATTCCACCCTAGCAGATTCTCTCTATTTAAACCCAGGATATGTTTCATTTCACTTCAAAAATTCCTCTTGAATTATGGGATAAAAAGTAAAAACCCGGAACTCCTCAAGTTACCCAACTTGCACTTTTTGGCTGTATATGGGAAACTGGGAAACCTGGCAAACCAAAAACTGCAGCCAAAAACTTCAAGTTGGGAAACTCAGACAAGTTCCTGGTTTCTACTTTGTATCCCACAAATGCACCCCAAAAGGTATCTCATTTCAATCCAGAAATTCCTGTTTATTTATGGTATGGTTGGTGACAGCAAGAAGCATGAAACCACAGACTGGGTATCTTGTAATTACAACAACAAAGAACCCAAATTCATCTTATAAAAGTTAAAAAAACAAGACTCTTGGAATGTGTTCCGCTGAGGGTAATTTTGGATAGCCCTCAACAAGACAGCCTCAAGTCTATCTTGATTTGTTTTGTTAATGATTTTTGCGACTTGTGGAATGTTTTTGAAAAAATCCCCAATTATGTGGTTCTTGCTGTCACCAACCATACTCAAAGTTGAATGAAAGGTAGATTCTACCTTTTTTGAAAACCTAGATGCAGTCAAACCCTTGCTATCACATACCTTGGGTGGAAGACTTTTGCTATGCATTTTTACGGGTTATGCAATTCCATTGTCAAATTTGGCAGTAAAAAGCATCAAGATTAAGAACTTTTTCTATGCATTATCACGGGTTATGCATTATCACGGGTTATGCAGCAGCGCGGGTTTGACTCACATCCAACATAGACGCCTTGGATTGAAAAATATGAGGTATCATTGGATTGAAAACCTCGGACAGAATGTTTCTGAGGTGTTGATCCAACACATCTTTTTGCGCCAAAAGATACCTCGGAGCAACACCTTGGACAAGATCTGTCCAACGGTTTATATCCGATGATGCCTTGGATTTTTCAATCCAAGGCATCTATGTTGGAGGTGAGTGTACAAAGACTAGGCACAACCAGGGAAAGTGAAATTTGGGTCCCCTGGCACTGGCAGACACAACAACCTCACAGATCAATCAAAAAGAATCAACCAGTGAGTGAATTTACAGATTATTGCTCACCAATTGATTGTAATCAATCTATTCAGATCAACATGAGTGAATCCAATGATTTGAATTGATCACATTGATCAATTCAAAACAGATGAAAGGCATCAAGCAATTCAAATGAATCCACCAAAGCTTTCACTTTTTCCAGGACTGCCTGATGTTCATAAAACCATTGATGTGGTACTTCAAACTCAAAAGGTATCTAGTTAAATTGATCTAATTCAAACCATTATCTCTGAGGTACAACAATAAAGGACCTATCTGACAATCTAAAGCAGAAATTATTAAATTTCTGACACCCAAAAAAATATCACCCTCAAAACCGCCAGTCCCATCTAAGCTTGAACTGATCTATACAAAGATTTGGATCTACTACTGATTGGAGTACAACTTGGTCAAGGGTATCTTGGAATAATTGGAGTACCAGCTGATGTATATTGTGCATGGTTATTAGACTGAGATTACATCTTCAGTTGTGAAGGCACAACTGAGGGACAGAACCAAGAGGATAGATTGCTGTGGCAGTTGCTATCATTCCAAGTTGAAAGTAGGCATACAAAGAAACATTATAAGTTGATGTGAAGTCAATGACAGTGTGATTCCTATCATGATCTTAGTATGGCAACAGGTGAAGGAGAAGTAACTTGAGTAATTCATTCCAGGGAGGAGAGAGGGGGGATTTACATAGCCCACCATCTCTCTACAAAGTACAAATAAGGCAACGTACAACATGAGTCAACAAGGAAATTGTTGAGATACAAATAGGTATTTGAAGTGGAGATGGCCAAATCCAGTACTGATGGATTTGGCCTACAAGAAATATCAGTCAGTTTGACTGGAACAGATCTGGAAGAGATCTGTCCAAATAAGAAACAGTCTTTGTGGAAACAAAAGCAAGTGAAGATCAATGGAAAGTGCATTAAAAGTCTCAAAAGTGCGTACAATGAGAAAAAAGGGGTCATGAAAATAGGGAATAAAAACAGATAAGAATTATAGCACAGGGAGCTCCAAGTGAGGACTGCATATCAGTTTTTTCCCCGCTACAAAAAAACTAGTATTCTAGGTTTTGAAAAAGGCATTTGGATTGAGGTCCTCCTGCCAATGATGCCCAAGCCTCTGGTGATGGATGAGTCTTTTGATTGAAGGTGATAAAGTTTTCAGATTTTGGAACAAGGTGCTTTTGCCATATTTTGTGACTCTTTGTGATGGAGAAAACAAGAAGTACCATTATGCCACTGCATCCTGGAACTTTGATATCCTGTTTGATATCTTGTGCTTGGGTTCATAAGATTTTGCACAAAAGGCACAAAAGACAGGCCACAAAGGGCTTGAACACAAATTGTTTGCCAATTTCAAGTGCACTAATCAACCACCATGACTGATGGCTGAGTCCAAAAGCAGTGTTATCAATCACTCAAACATTTATTGAGATCTATTTTCAAGACTGGTAAAGCTAAGTTTGACAGTCAACCAAAATCTTGTTTGCATACAATTTAATTTCCACAAAGGTCTCAAGACCTTCTGCCCAGTCTCAAAAACAACCAAATTGTTTTGAAATCAATTGCTCCAAATTTTGATAAACCAACTGGTTTGAAAAAATGGTTTCTGCTCTGTTGTAGATTTTTCTTGGACAAACTTTTATACAACAACATTATATACCCAGGGCTGACACACTCAGGCTCAAGGTCTGAATCTTCTTGATTCTGTCCCTTTCAGATTCCCAGACTGTTGCCCCCCTAGATTGTGATCTGGCACATGCGGGTCTGATTCAAATGTCATATCTGATAAGAGATTGTAACACCTCTTCAAAATGAAACTTTCCTTGAAATTTGAATTATACATAGAGTCAAATTTGAGAGTGGAATGTTTTGAGGTTGATGAGAGGTGCTAGAATAATATTTGCATTGAATTTTTCACAAATGATATATCAACCCTCAATATCAAATCAAAAAGTGGTGAAAAGTCAGATAGATGCTGTGATAGCACATTGAGTCAAAGTTTACAATGAAAGATGATCAATTCATGCGTGTATAAGCTCTCTTTGTTGGGCTTGATCCCATGAAAACAATGTTTCAACGGGTCTACACCTGTTGGAGCGGAGAGTGTTACATAAATTTTCATGACTATAAAGAGTTTGCCAATTTCTCACTCAAAAACATATCCTCAAGTCCTGAATTCACTACATTACCTCTTAGTGTCTTATTAGTCAATAACAAACTCTTTTACTACAGCTATATAATCCTAGTGAATTTAGAGATCAATTTATACAAGTTCCAGCTACAAGAATTGGTTTTGGTGAGTACTTCTGAGATTTGCTAAAAGTCTGTTGTTTCTTTCAATCCTTCTACTATATACCAACATTCTTCCACTTGTTGGGCATTTATAAATATCAAATTTCCTTAGATCCCTAATATTCTCTCCTTGAGGAATTTCTTAAAACCTCGATATTCCTTATCTCTATCCGCTAGTCTAAAAAGATGATTGTTTCCTATCAATCCCCCTATATCTTCTTATCTCAATGAAACTTCAGTCCTTTCCCTTGTTTGATTCCTCACCTACGGTATTGGTTAGATGATTTACAGATTATCAAGCTTGGGTGCTTACATCTTCTATATATTTAACAGCCTACCCAAGATGAGATTTCAACAGATCTTTGTTACCATCAATATGTTAATGGATTACACTGCTTCTGGACATGTGATCCCTCAAATTGACGAAGGATGCTTGGTCAGAAGCAGTATCAACGTTGACGGCAAGTCACTCATGATTATCAAGCCCCCATCATAAATCCCACTAGACCACCGATATTCTGGGTGGCGTGAATTGATCTTGATCCTCCTCCTTCCAATTCCAGAATCCTTGTCCGTCGATCATATAGTTCGAGAAGGTGAGACTATTGGCTCTAGTGCTTACTCACGTCGGCCAGGTGGCAAGGGGGCCAATGCCGCGGTGGCTCTTGCGAAAGCCGGCGTCCCGGTCTCCCTGGTCGGCTTGATTGGACAAGACGCAATGTGGCTCAAGGATTCTATCAAAGGACACGGCGTAAATGTTGATCAGTTAATGGCAATTTCGGAGGTCAGGTCCATCCTATCTGATCGCCATAGATTTTGTATTGTTTCACACCGAAAACATTTCGGCTAATTGGTGCTCCAACATAGCTCCCCACCGGTCGGGCTATCATTCAAGTTTCTCAGACTGGCGAAAACTCAATTGTACTTGTTCATGGAGCCAATCACGCTCCCTCCAATGCCTGGCCACCCTTAACAGTCGATCGTAGGGTATTTAGCCATTTACTCCTACAGAACGAAATCCCATTATCCGAGACTTGTGCAGCATTGAAGGCAGCCAAGAAATATGACGTCTGTACAATTTTCAACCCTTCGCCTCTTCCATCGAAATCAGAAATTCAAAACGTGATACCCTGGAGTACAGTAGATTGGTTGATTGTCAATCAAGAAGAAGCTCGAGCGCTCACAAAAGCTACTCGACCAGATCATCAAGCGGATGTCGATATCAAGATCGAATCTGGTCAAGCAGGTGACCTACAAGATACCCTTCTTACACTTATTCGATCATCATTTGCTAATATAGGAGTCGTAATGACACTGGGAGCGAATGGTTGTCAGGTTGGATTCCGAGCCAAGTCTGGTGAGAAGTCTTGGACAGTTTTTAGCTCATTAGCTAGTAAAGGTACACGACCGGTAGTTGACACCACTGGTGCTGGAGATTGCTTCACAGTGAGTGATTTGATCTACAAGCTCATCTATCTAAATTGTTTCAAATTGACATTAAATGAGTAATTTTTCTGTGCGGTGTCAATAGGCTTATTTCATTGCTCAACTGATGACTATGGAAATTGAAAAGCGGTTAAAGCTAGAAGATGTTAAACGGGCCACTTCACTAGCAGGCAAAGCAGCAAGGATTTGTGTGGAGAAAGAGGGTACTATTGATAGTTATCCAACTTTGAAAGAAGTCATGTCTATAACTGATTAAGAACAGTATGGATTGATGAAGCTTGAGTTGATCATTGAGCTTGCAATACAATGTCACTTTTGATCTGGTCTTGTCACATAATGTCTTCTTAAATCTCAGACCCCCCAAATCATGATGTATACTTCATCAGCCAGGATTCATCAAACTTTCTGTTTGCATTGAAGATCAATTCCTGTAACCAATATGACGACAGGAAATTGAATGCAGCAAGCAGTTTGGGTAGGAGGGAGGAGCTGAGGTTCTTCAAATGATTAGCTAGATGAAGTTTCTTGTTCAATTGGTCTATATATGATTACATTGGACTATATGTACAAGAAAATCTTCAGAATGCAGAAATGATCTAAAACTTCAATTTGGTTGTTTGTAAATTGTCACTTGTTCTATTGAGCTCATTGGGTTTGTCCAGAACTTGACTCGCCATTGCCGTCTTTCAAAAGCGTACCCGGAGTCCACCCAAGTCAGAGCATCCACAGCCATGTGCCGTAAACCATGACGTACATAGATTTGGGGTGATACAAATGTAGAACTGCTTTGTGTCAATACTAAATATTCATACAACTGCTCTCATTTGAGCTTCCTGCAAGCAGAGTGCATATCAAGCAAAGTAAGATTGGGGCCAGTCTGTGGTATGTACACTAAACCACTGAGACCCTCCCACCCATTTGAATTCTCAAAACAAAGGACAAAAAGTTTGGAAAGTATGATCATCAATCTTGCTTTATTCCTAAAGATATGCCAGATTTAGCCTGAAGCTGTTTACAGTTAAGTCATTACATTACATCATAATCTAGTTGACCATTCTTCTCTTGCATGTGTTACAATATCTTGTCAAATTTATTCATACTTTTTATTTTATCATCAATTTGAAGGATAATTTAGTTAGAAGGCCTTGTCGTCAATATTTCCTTACAGCTTACACATTTCTTTCTTTTGTTGCCTATGGGTATAAGTATCCTTTCTTCAGCTTTAAAATTCTGACTTATCATTGTCAATTATATTTGAGATATTTCAGACCAATCAACTCAGACTTTGGAAGAGGGCTTTCAGGTAGGTCCAGCAAGTCTCTTTTTAGGTTCACAAGGCTTTCTTCTATCACATACAGTAAAGAAGAACAGATAATTGCACAACTAAATCTGGGGGCTGCAGTGAGTACTTGATTTATAAGACCCAAGATGATATCTTTGACCTCATTACACACATCACCACCCATTGGTTTCCTTCAAACCCACAGAGGGCCATACATCAAAAAGTAGATCATGTTTTGACAGAAAGCATTGCGAGTAAAATTCAAATTAAACAGGCCAGAGGCATGTTAATCATAGCAGGGAATTTTAGGAGCTTAATAAGCGAAGTATATATTTAGGTAACCTCCTTGATCACTGGCTCATGATTGCAAGAACTGCTCCAACACAATTGAGACAAACATCGCAAGGCAAACAACATGTCATCTCATCAATTTGCAAGGATTTGAAGAATGTGTTGCAACTCACATCTGCATGAAGCAGATGGGACTTAAGAATGAAGTTTGACTTCCGGTATAGAATTGTGCTTGTATTTCATGAAAAAAAGCAGATAGAGTCCTAGGGTTTTGCTTACATTCAATGCCTGTTTAATTTTATTTTCTACAATGATCAATAGATTCTGTTTGGTCAGATGCATGGCTGAGCAGCTTATTGATTTTCAACGAATTGAGAAACTTGAGCTTCTTGCTATGTGATCAATGCTGTTGCAGTTTTTTGGGGTGAAGTGGAAAGTTCAAAGTACCAAAATATCAAGCATGGATTAAAATTTGAGGTATTCATCTGGAAACCTAACCTCAATCTTATCCTTCCGTATCCGATCAACAAATTGTCCGACTAAAATTTGAGCAATTCGGTCCTAGAATCCCGCCGGTACAATAGCACCTTAAACAATCGAATCACATGGCATCTTCTTCAACTAACAATCAACAAGACTCTAACGATGCCGTCGTTCAAGATCAATTCAGTGATTGGACCCGTAGGCTTCGTATGCTCACTGGATTAGGTCTTCAAAATGATGAAGAACGTCGGGCTTTTCTCATATCACGATGTGAGAGCTGGCGAGATAATTTGATAGAAACAAGTGCGTTTATTTTCCTTTGACGATCTCTTTTTCCATGTGAGTTGATTATATTTCCCATGTTCATTTATCCATAGGTCCAGTAATCCGATTTATGCTACAACATATCTCTGTTATTCCTCCAAGACCAGGATCTCAATCTCAAAATAATCGACTTCCAATTCCAATCAGATGTGAACCTTGTGCACCAGTCTTGGCTGGTGGTCAATTTTCTCCTGCTGAAGGAGGTCAAATTCGATTATGCTCAGATAGACTTTCTTCCCGTCAACATGCTTCGGATGTTCTTACTCATGAACTTATACACGCTTGGGATGATCGTCATTTTGGTATAGATTGGTCTAACGCACGTCACATTGCCTGCACTGAAGTGAGCTACCATGTTTTCCTCTATCACTACCAGCAAAGGTATCAATGTACTAAACATATGATAAAATCTGGCCTTAGATTCGAGCAAATGCTCTTTCTGGTGATTGTCGTTGGACACGAGAACTTGATCGTCATATATGGTCCTTTGCAGCACAACGTCAGAATTGCGCACGAAGACGAGCAGCCTTATCACTTAGTCAACATTCCTCTTTACGTGAACGATTTGGGAATGATACAGAAGCTGCACGTCAGGCTGCTGATAGAGTAGTTGATGAAGTTTGGGAAAGTTGTTGGAATGATACTAGACCTTTTGATGAAATATATTGAACTCGATATGTGCATAAGTAAGCTGAGATCTTGCTTGAATCCGTACATCTATAATGAAATGATGTGAGGCTATTTCAACAATATTCATTACGTGCGCTAGCAGGCCAATCATGGGTGAAGTGCCGCCGAGAACTCCCACCAGGAGTCCAGGACGAAGAGGATTTGTGAGAAGAATTCCCGCTGAATCCAAAATATACCGATCAGGATTAGGTTTATCAAGTTTTGCTTACTTGCGTTCAGTTTATATCAATTCTTATTGAATGCAAACCTTCACATTGTCATTGATATCATTATTGGTGGTCCAAAGCCGATGTAAGTAATCTTGTCTTATTACATAGGATCTACTAGAATAGAACAAGATCTCAAAGAAATAGAACACTTTGGTCCCACACATGTTTAAAAGTTCCTAGAGAAGGAAGTCAAAAGAAGGGAACACTAGAGCACACTCCTATCCCTTTCCAAGGACCTGTGGTATATCTTTTGCCTAAAGGCTTCAAGCAGATATGTCGTATTCCTGAACCAGCCAGAATCCCTCAGAAATAAATCATTTCTCATCTTTCCTTCTCTTTTGATTGTCAATCAGATGTCTTCAAAATCTACTTCCAACCTTTGTTCTGCCAATCATACCTGTCAGAGCATTCATTCCATTGCCAAGGATGCATACGAAGCTTGGCCCGAGTTACAAGCTCAAGATAAATCTTAAGCTCATACCTAAGCTTACTCTGGTCGGCATTACTGTCAGTGAACGAAATTTGGCCTAGTTAGCCTCATCAAATTCATCGGCAAACATTGCCGAGGTTTGTGACAAGACAACCTGGCAATAGATAGTTTTACACTGAATATTGAGCAGTGTCAAAGTTTGAAAAGTACATTGCATCTTGCCGGAAAACTTTGACAGGGCGGAGAGTTGCGGTATCAGTCTTCCTCTGAGACTACCTGAGAGGATCTCTGAGACATACAGGGATAGTATAATTTTTTTCTCGGGTGGCGCCTGATTTGTAAGAGGGGCGTTTCTTTTTTCTCTCTGACCTTCTTGGACCTACCCAAGCCTGTACGAACGTCTTTTGTGCAAGTGATGGACCCAAGAAATTTGCTCTGGATTGCTTCAAATGAGCAATGGATCCATGTCTGTGTAGGTTCATGTAAGAGCCGCTTGTTAGATCTACTACGGTCCAATGATTGGACACTTAGGCGGCCGTCCAGAAATGATAAGGTGATCATCAATCTACCCTTTTTGAATCGGCCGTTCAGAAGCGATAACATGATGATTATCTTGGTTTTCAACCATACTATACTATGGTGAATCAGTCAAATTCATCAGTTTCAATCGCATCAGACTTTGAAGTGATGCGGAACACTTATACGACTTGATTCACTAATGCCTCAAGTCAGATCTGACTGCGTGTGCGTCGTAGAAGGTGATAGCTTCGATTTGGGTTTTTATCAGACCTGCGTATTCGATAGGATCGATCGGAACAAACAATAAACAAGAGGATGATGCGGCTCACTACATACGTCACCCTCATCGGCGTAGGTATGCTTGAAGCCATCTACGGTGTAAGGCTTATCCAGACGACTGATTTTTTTGACCATCTTCACATTGAAGTTTGATTTCATTTTTGCAAGTTATCAATATTAATCAAATTTCACTTACGAACAAATCCATGTTTATTTCTGGGAGTATAACCTTCTTTTAAGATCTCAATCACGGATTGAAATACAAACCAAGTAGGAATCTCTTGGCCCCTTTATAATAATTTCCTAACTTCAGTTATCCTGAAATATCTTTGATTTTGATTTCTTTTTTGATCTCATTGGTTTGTATTCATTTGTTCTCAAAATCGACATGGTCATTTTTGTAATGAAAAATTTTACGGGTGGAATCATCTTTGTTCCAAGGAGTTGGACAAGACCTGACAAGACCGAGCCATAGGAATGGATTTATAATACACTGTACGTATGAACCATACAGTCCTACGAGCGGCCACCAACCTGTGCGTTAAGTGTACAACAAGCCACATTATTTTTCTAAATTTTGGATAGTCTCAGAGATAGTCTCAGAGCGAGATAGTCTCAGAGGAAGACCGATACGGTTACGCTCCCTGACAGGGTGTGCAACTGACGAATGCTGAGAGAAACTGCAAAGCTGGTGCCTGGACCTAGCTGGACAGTGAACACATGGAATGACCGAGAACGTTGGCTTGGAATCCGAACAGAAATTTCTCTTCTTTGAAAGGGATTCTGAAGTGCGTGTTACTGTTTACATATGTATGCACTGTGCCGCAGCAGTGACGCTAAATATACGTGCTCATGAACTGTATTTGAAACTTGTTTACCTTTTGCCATCCACCCAATCTCATCCGCTCACGAACGATAAATAACCATCAAGAATCGATCGATTAGCTTGACTGAGTGAGTAAACTTATCAAGCTTGATGAAGGAAACGATCAAACCAACTTCAGATAACTTCAAATTGAGATAACTAATTCTCGATCGTCAAAACCGATACATATTTTCCAGCCAAACCTGAATTCAAATCGTTCGAACCATCAAAGACATACACTCCAACAAGACTTGACGGCGATATACGTACTCTTCAGGTCAGTTGACTGGCTGATCATCTCTAGCCGTTGTTTATCATTGGTTTCAAAAAAGTGAATATTACCCTCCAGGAGAAACTAGTTGACTGATATGCTTATGAATTGAAAATCTAATGGTGAATGTGAATGCAACAGCGATATATTAGATCAAGATCCGGCTTGAAAGATTAAATTGGAATTACTTCAGAGGTGAGCGCACTTTCCTCTGAGCATTTAATTTTAGGAATTGAGAAAACTGATGAATTATTCCAATTTTGTGCATATATTTCAAGTTTTTGCAATCAAGTCGATCTTGGACCACTAAATTACTTCCACCTCATCCATCAACGGAAAAAACAATCGACATTGGATCATTTTATATATTGACTTGACTGATTGTTATCTCTTTATTGACTACTTGTCATGTGAGTCATCCTTTTTTTAATCCTTCCACCTTGATCATCATTCAGTGTTTGTTTGAGTTGTCATCTTGTTTATACTTTCTCTGATATAAGAATGTGAGATGATTAGAGATATCATGCTGAACACTTTGAAAATAAGAAGTGCTTCGTCGAAATCTTGACTATCTCTAATCAATTCACTTTTCAATGACAAACATGAATAATTCCGAATCTTGTTTTCATCTTTCTTTTCTTTCATCATATGCTTTCCCTCTCCTCTCCCCGCTCACCCATCCACCCTCCTTCCTTCCCTTTCGCACCTTCATCTCCCATCGATCGACTACTGTCCATCCCCATGCGTTCCTTGGCTCAATCCAACCCATCAACTTCACTTCGCCTTTGATCCCTCATCAACTTCAACCTGGTCTCAAACTTCGCAATCTATCAACGTTAATCCTACTCGGCCAATCCTATCCTATCCATATCCCCATTCCCCTTCCTCAACCTGTTCCATACGTCGGTTTTCCTTTTTTTTCTCCATGATCTTGTACTCTCACGCACTTCTAGTCCTACCAGACCGAACAGCATTGACTGTACTGATTGACTCATCCTACTCAACTTCCCCTCCAATTCATCAACCTGGGTATCAACCTTTAACATCAACAAAACTAAACTCACTTCAACAACTCGAAATCAATTCACCGGTGTCTTTTAACCCTTGGCCAATTTGGCCGTGATCCTTTTGTTGGGTAATCTCATCTTGCTACGTGCTCAACTGTTAACTCGAATATTTTCTTGTTGCTTTTTGGTCCCGCCTACCCAAACTTTTCTCCTGTATTGCACATTCTGCCTGTGTGATACTGTGGAACCGCGTCTACGGGTTCAATTCAATTTGTGTTTTTGTCTTTACCCCACCACCTTTGCGAGTCAAAAAAAACAATCAAAATGTCCACCGCCCAACCTACTCACCACGAACCCGGTCATTCTAATCCTGATCACAGTAATCGCAATTCCCAGCCACGGAAACGCTCTCGTTCGCCTTCCGCTTCTGGTGGCGCGGGACCAAAGCGACTCAACCTGGAAAGTGGAGTTGAGGACACTGGCTCTGCTGGCACAGACTCTGCTGTAGGCCTTGGAGCCGCGGTAAGACCAGCTGTTGCCGGGTCGGGCCAAGCCGATGGTACGTTGACCTACTTTCACGATAATTTAAATTATCAATTTCCACTATTTCTATCCTTCCCCTACCCTCCCCAAATTCAGTCCTTTTTGACCAAAAAGGTAATTCAAGCCAGGGGGAAGCAGGGATGTTGACTTGTGCGATAGTACGCGCCCAACCTAGTGACAGCCGTTACCCAGCCGTACTTGCTTACTTGATGTTCAAATCTTTGGCATAGACAACCCTTTGACGCTCTTCATTTTTTCTCTCCCTTACTATCAAACCCTCTATCCCCATATTCCTCGCCCTCGCTCATAGGTGGTCATCGTAAAATGGATGCTAAAACGGAAGCCTCGAACGCTGATCACGCCCTGCAACCCACTGCCTCTAACGCTGAAGCGTCTAACGGTGTTGAAGCTCAGCTAAGCTCTCACAAGTCGGCTGGTGATCAACCCGATGTCGATGCAAACCTCCATCCTTTGCCCCTCGATCACAACGAAGCTCAAGCAATTGCCCATCAACAAGCTGTCCAACAACAACAACAACAACAGCTTCATCAACAGCAAACTCAGCCTAACCCCGTGACAGCTACTCAAACGATCCAAATGCGTGCATTGATTGTTACACAAGACGCTAGCATCATCATTGGCAAAGGTGGTCGGTAAGTAGCAGTTGCGATTACATTCTCGCCATCATATATGGTGGCCACATCAGAAGTCTGCGAACCTGCTCTTACCTTGAGTGATTCACCTTTTTCGCTACCCTCTAGTCACATTAATGAGATCCGAGAGAAATCGGGCGCACGGGCAACTATATCTGAAGCTGTACCAGGAAACGCCGAACGTATTTTGAGTGTCGGTGGTCCACTCGACGCGGTTTCAAAAGCATTCGGTCTGATTGTGCGACGCATCAACGATGAGCCATTCGACGTTCCTTCGGTGCCGGGCTCGCGTGCAGTAACCATTCGATTTGTGGTACCGAATTCGCGTATGGGATCAGTCATTGGCAAGGCAGGAAGTAAAATCAAAGAGATTCAAGACATGAGTGGAGCTCGTGTACAAGCATCAGAAGCGATGCTACCTGGCAGCACTGAACGCGTCCTATCTGTCTCTGGCGTGGCAGACGCCGTTCACATCGCGGTCTATTATGTTGGAATGATCTTGGTGGAGAATCAGGACCGCATGCCTGCCAACACAACTTATCGACCGGGTCACGCAACCGGACAGGTCAATTCCTTGGGCGGTGGTCGTGGTCCCATGGGCGGTGGAGCAGTTGGCCCGGCCGGCGGACCTGCTTACTATGGTCATCCGCCTCAAGGTGGCCATCCGCTTCACGGACTTCACGGACTTCACGGTCATCCTCACGCTCACCCCCACGCTCACCCTCACCCTCATCCCCACCCTCATCCTCATCCTCATAGTGCCGGCGGGTATCCTAGTAGTGCTCACCAACCCGGAAGTCAAACCCAACAGATATATATCCCCAACGAACTTGTAGGAGCCGTCATTGGTAAAGGAGGACAGAAGATTAATGAGATCAGGCAAGCTAGTGCGACACACATCAAAATTATGGAACCAGGAGAGGGTGGACAGGCTGCGAGCACCAATGAACGTGTCAGTATCTCGAACGTTTTGTTTGATTCAGTCTCCTCGGTCTGTCGCTGACGTTCTCTTCCGTTTACACAGCTCGTCACTATCACGGGTCAACCCCTACAGATCCAGATGGCTGTGCAACTGTTATATCAGCGGTTAGAAGCCGAAAAACAAAAACGTTAGTGGCATTTAATTGAATCCTGTAACGTTTCCTCTCCGAAGGTGCTAATTCCTTCAATTTCCCGACCCAATCTTTTGATCTAATAATAACAGAAGCTCAACCGATGGGTGGAATGTAATTATCATGTTTTTAAATAATGGGTCCTTTAGAATATAAAAAATCACAATGAATGCTACTTTTTTTCTACTTTGTTACCTGAGTTTTATTATACTACTTGCTCTTCTTTCAACCCATTACAAGGCAGGATATGTGGACGTATGAAATGAAATGCAAGATGAAATCAATCTGATGTGTTGTCAATGGTTCATTCGTTTTGTCTTTACATGATCGTGATGCCCAAACGGACCTGATGAGCAAATTCAAAAACAATGACAAATGAACTCCACTCGCATTTGTCTATATTTCTTCTGCTTCTCACAATTTCCACTGTAGATGTTGTCGCAGTTGGTGCCGGAGAAAATTTTCTCAACGAACTATCCTAGCCAAAAGACCATTGATGGACTGGAAAAAGGCAACCATGTAGGCATTTATTTGCCATGATCATTGCTGAGTCTCAGCCATCAAAACTGTAAAAATCAGTTTACACGACTAGGAGTGACCATGGTTGGTGACAGCAAGAACCACATAATTGAGTATTTTTTCAAAAGTTGTTCCACAAGTCACAAAAGTCATTTACAAAACAAAGCAAGATAGATTTGAGGCCGTCTTGTTGATGGTTATCCAAAATTACCCACAGCGGAACAAATTCCAAAAGTCTGTTTTTTTTAACTTTTATAAGACTGATGAAGATGGGTTCTTTGTTGTTGTAATTACAAAATACCCAGTCCGTGGTTTCATGCTTCTTGCTATCACCAACCATACACTTGCGCTTCATAGACCTTACTCTGCCTTATGATCAGCGCTCATCCCCTTCTCAACACTAGATGATCGCGGCAAGTTATGGGTCAGGAAAAAAGACCTTTCACTGTGTAAGATGAGCTTCTCAAAGAGAGATCAAGATTGATCAAATGGTTTCCGTTGAATCAATCGAAATTCTAAACTTTCATATCTCACAAGAAAATATAACTTCAAATCAAATTAAAAAGATTTCTTCAAATAGTATGTTACTAAACTGATGACCAAGAAAAATAATATATATATATGTATGTGTAATGCAGTATAGGTAAAATAATCTATCAGGAAACAAAATTCCAAGAATTAATCAAGTACCAAAAAGCAAAGAGAAGAAAATCAACAAATATACTAATTACACATTGTCAAAAAAAACTAATTCATCTCATACTTTATAATCATTTTACATCTTGAAACCAAAAAAAAAAGAAAACCGAAGTAAAAAAAACTTGATTACAGACATTTAGATAACAATATATATATATATATATGAAGAGAAGTGATATGAATCAAGAAGAAAACAAAATTAAATGCCCAAATTGGATTTCTTTTTTCCTACAGAATAAGAATTCTAAAACCAAAACCAAGAAGAAAAAGACGAAGACGATTGAAATTAAATAAGATTTTATGTTTCATTTTTCAGACAATGATTTTCATCTTTTCCTAACGTTTTGAATAATCGTACGTCTTCTTTCCATAGGTCTACTTGGAGGTTGATCACGAGAAGGTTTACGAGTCCAAGGAGTATGAGGTGTAGGATTCAATGAATGATTCGATGGTGGTGGATGATGTTGTGAATATGGTTGTTGTTGTTGTAAACCCAAAGATTCAGATTGTTGAAGTCTTGCATGTTTTTCACACCAAGGTAAAAAATTTATCACAAAATGAAATTCTTCTAAACTAATCTTACAACCCGGTTTAGAACACATAAAATGTTCTGGATGATAAAGTCTTTTTCGTTGAACACTTGAACTTGATTTACTAAAACTTGATGCTCCATCTGATACAGATCTACTGCCGCTGGTTTCTGATGATTCTAATGATAATGAAATACATGGACCTTCGATACCTCTTTGACAAGACTCATTTGCACAAATCGTTCCAGCAAATCGATGATAATGTCGAGCACACTAATCAATCCCCAATTCCAACCATAAAATCAGTCAAACTAAACTTTTGTGAAATTGAGAAAAAGAAAATCTTACCACTGGTTTTCTTTCCCAAACATAAAACTCTCCATCTGGAAATTTAGCCGAACATTGAAAACAATTAAAACATTCAGGATGATATTTTCCTAAAACCTTTCCAACTCGATCAGTCACAGCTCTACGTTCGATCGGTCTATCACATTTTCTACACTTAGGTAAATATAATTCAGCATAACAAGTTTGACAGAATAGCGATTTAGCCGTTCCATTTGGATCGATAGATGATGATCTGATTTTAGCTGTACGTGAATCCGTTCGTTTTCCACAATGTTGACATCTATCATCTCCTGTTGCTTTGTTTGTAAATAAAGCTCTGGCTGGTGGTGGTGAGGGTGGATGATCAAAACCTAATTGTGAAATCGAGTCTGATGGTCGGATTCCAGGTGAGTCTGGTACATTAGGTAGATTGTTGGCTGAGTTATTCCTAAGATGAACACGTGGTGTCACTGTGTGATAGAACACAAAAAGAGCAAAATGAGTTCCAAATTCATGAAATCAAAATATTCAAGACTCCAGAAAACTTACTATCAGGATCATGCGCGTCAAACATGGCATCTGACTCAGTCGCACTACGCTTGTGTGGGGATTTGACAGCTGGACTCGATGTTGTTCTAGGAGGTGTAGATTTTTTCTTTTCCTTCAATTGATAAGTTGATAACTCCGCCTTTCGAGTCATCTCATTCATCAGATCACCCATAAGATCTTCAAGACCATCTGAAGGTTTCTGATTAGGTTTACGTGAAGATTTACTACGTGATTTAGGAGTTTCATATACTTTGAATGAAGGATTATCTTTTTCTTCATCAGAATCAATGAATGCTTCACTTGCTAAAAGTCTATCGAGACCAGCAGAAGCAGATTGTGAAGAAGGTAGTTTTCGCAGTGGAGGTGGTTTAGGATCTCGTCGAGCTTCACTACCTGAGCGCTGTCTTGTGCGGTCGTCGAATGGCATCGAAGTAGAGCTTGGAAGAGGTCGGTCTTTACGAAGCTGAGAACGTTGTAATGAAGCAAACCCAATCTTTTCTGAAGGTGATATTTCGGGTGAAGTAGGAGGCGTGATGACTTTTTTCGACTTGGATTTCGAGGTTTGGGCAGACTCGATGGAAACGTTTGAAGGCCTTGATGAAGAACCTGATTGACTGGTGGTATCAATGGGAGATCTTCGAGGTTCTTCCCATTTTTTAATTGTGATTGGTTTGGTCTTTGTTGTTGGCGTGGTGGTGGTGGTGATTGGAAGGCTATCCTTATTCATAGGAACAAGTTGAGCATATTTTTCCAAAAAAGGAATACGCGAACGTCCTACTGGATTACTTGGGCCAGATGACTCTGAGTTAAGGATTGAAGAGCCTGAAGATGATAGTCGATGGACTCGTGGAGTACGCTGAGAAGTACGAGAAATAGGTCGAGGAGGTGACTTTTCAGGAGTTGGAGGAAGGGTAGGTGGGGGAGAAGGAGCCGTCTCGGCTGAAGGCTTCATGAAGGAAGAGAAGAGTGACTGTACCAATGAAGGCTGAGTGGCGGGTGGAGGAGAAGATTCAGGTGTTGGTTCTGATTTAGGTGGTGAAGGTGGTGCCTCAACTTTTGGTGCGGAAATGATTTTTGAAATTGAAGATTGAGGGATGTCTAAATGGCAATTTATTAGGAAAACCAATCAGTTAGCACGACCGTCAATCAAATCACTTGATTGTAGAAACCTGGATATGATCAATATATAACTCCTCTAATTGAAGACATTTATATCAAGGTCTATGACCGTGCTGAACGACAAAGTCATCAACCACAAGTGGCTTCCTAGGTGATTTGAAGTCATTACAGTGCTCTTGATTTGTTGATATAGTTCGTCTGTGCTTGTGTTGAATATATAGCTATGAAAGCTCATATATAGTGGCTGTCGACTGAGACTCATGCCAGAGTAGCCACCTAGCCAAGAAAGAGGAGAAAGAACGAGAAAGATCTTGGCTCACGTTTGGATTCATGTTTCTTCTGTTGGGGGGAAGAGGGTCTGGCCGGTGCTGGGACTGGTTTTGATGCTGGCGCTGGTATTGATGCTCGTATTGATGCTGGTGCTGGTGCTGGTGCTGGTGCTGGTGCTGGTGCTGGTGGAGTTGAACTTGGAAGTTTCGAGACTGGCTTTGGTGAACAAACATGTTCACCAAGTTCCAAGAGTGGTACATCTCCACCACAATCGCTACATTTGATAACTGCACCCACGCTAGCAGAGACCGGTCTTTCTTCTGATTTTGGAGGTAATAAGTTGGAACCGGTCTCATTCTTAGAATCAGCTTCTGAAGGTTTTGAATCTGAAGTGTTTGAAGTAGTAGGCTCAGGTGTTGCAGTACTTCCTCCAAACCCAAAGGTAGCAAGAGAAGCAATAGTAGGAGTAGTAAAGAAAGCGAGGGCCATGGGATGATTGGTTGATGTAAGATTCAATTTCTCAGATGCTTGGGTCGTGCTTGGGTTCAGTCCAAAATCAATGAAGTTGATTGATAGTTGTAAAATCCAGTTTTTGAAATCTTCTTCAATGGGATTCTAGGATGATCCGAGGTCGGTGGTGTTGGGTATCAGTGAACTGGAAAGATCAAGATGATATAAGATCTCATGATGACTAGTCACATCAAGAAAGAAATAAGGAAAAATTGAATGTAAAATGTTGGGGTTGGAATATGTTTTTTAGCGGGATGGGATAAAATTGAAAAAAGGGTAACGAAAGAAACAAGGACAACAGGAACAATGGTGATGGAATCGAGTCAAGATCAAAAGAAGAAGAGAAAAAAAAAGTTCTACATACCATCTATGTCCAACAAGGCATAGAATTGAATTCTCGAGGATTAGAAGTTACAATGGATACCAAGACTTCGTTTCTGTTACCGACCGGACCACGAAGGTATGGTAATATACAGGATCCTTATCGAAGTGGTTGGTGACCAGAAGTTTTGATTCGAGGAAATACTCAAAGGGTATCGATTGAGTTAAGGATTGAGCGCATATATCCAGCTCGATTCGCTTTTGTGTGGATGAGTGAATTGAAACTCGGAGAAAAAAAAGAAAGAAAGAAAGAAAGAAAAAAGAACAAAGGAGAACGTGTTAGAGTGAATGAGATTGAGAGAGACAGAGAATTGATCATCTTGGCTACCGATACCACGCCCACCATCGTCACATGGAAAAAAGAACAAGAAAAAGAAGAACAAGAAAAAAAAGCATGTTGTTTTCAAACAATGGCAACCATGAACTCGGCATTCATACCAAACCTCTTATGGATATTTTTAAGGGTCTTTTTCTTCAATTCTTCAGGGACCATTCCAGCTTACAGCTTCAAAAGAAGAAAATATGTAAGAATGAGTCAGGATCTTGAAGATGATGGTTACATCAAATCTCCTGTTGGATCCTTGAACAGGCTCTTGCGATGGTTTTGGGTTGAGTTAAGTGAACTGCAATCGATCCATTTCATAACACCACAAATGAAATCGATATCTTTCAAAGTTTGATGATGGCACTTGTGTTGGACTTGCATGTGAGCTCAATCTACTTGCACAAATGCGAGAACGTCGCGATACACAGAGCAATTGAAGACCGCCAACCAAAACCAGCAGCGATGGTACGGCTTCCCCACAATTATTCTGTGAGACACAGAGAAATCTTTGAGAAACAAAATTCCTTTGAAGGTAATTGAGACGCTATTGACCAGCTCACAAGCACTTTGAAAAGTAAAAAAGCCTGGTCAACTTGGTTCAAGCTGAGGTTCAAAACCAACCAGATAATTCAAACTCTTTAAATCTGATGCCTTGGTCTTCGAACCTTGATTGGTTGTTTATGAACCATTTCCAAACCCCCGCCTGCCAACACTCATGACTCAAGACGTATGGAATTGGATTTTTTGTTACAAACACTTTCAATCAGAAGAGAATTGTACTTTGAATCTTGATGAAAAATATATAAAAGTGATCAGTTGATTTTGTGAACCGAGTGATTGGGAAAAGCTCTCATGTTCAGGAGAGAATGGATGTGTCATACTATCAGTGTCCAAAATCTGATGTAACAAAAGTATGATTCAATCTGGCAAAATGTGCAAGTTTGCAAGGCTCTAAACCCTTCAAACATTTCAACAAAGATAAAGATATCAACTGATATTCTCTCATGATGAAACACATTGGATCTCATTTCATTCCAACTCTCAACCACTTCTTCTGTCCATAAAAGAACAATGAAGAAAAATTTCAATATGGTAAATTGAGCAAAGATCTTCTATATATTGAACCTAAATTATAAAAGTGGAAAAAAACTAAATCACAAGACGAAAAGAAAAAAAAAGAAAAAAGTTTACATTTTTCAAAAGAAAAAGAAGGTCCATTTGAAAAAGAAGAGAAAAAGAAGCCAAAAGAAAAAAAAAAGAAATGATGCAATAAGAAAAAAAAGAAAAAAGGAAAATGCTAACCGATATTAAAAGTAAAAAAAAGGAGTTTATATCAGAAGAAGGATGTAGAAAAAAAAACCAAATCAATTTTTTTGAATGATTCTTAAACCTTTTGTTAACCGTTAACCCTCAGTTGATAATTATCCTAAGAAAATTTTTTAGAACAAAATACAAGAGAGGAATTAAATTCAAACAAACAAATAAATACAATCCAAATCCAATTCCAAAAAAAAAATCAAATCAAATCAAATTCAAAGAGATACAAGCTAGAGTAAAGCAAAAAAAAGAGAGAAAAAAAAAATCAAGGAAAAGAAAAAGAGAAGAACAAGTTATACACTCCTTTGAGCTTTATTAGTAGGAATCGTTGAATTCGAATTTGAATTATTACTAGAACTCGAATTAGAAGTAGCAGGTGGTCCACCTAATCCTCCAGGACCTCCAATCGTTCCATTTTTTATCAAAACATAAACTGTGATTCCAGCAGCTAAAGCCACTATTATCAAAAAAAAAAACATCATCATCAATGAGAGATGAAGTGGAAGTGATGAGAAAGGTGGGATCTACTTACGGAGAATGACAACTAGAAGGATACAACAACATTTACGTTTTGAACGAGCACCTTTGGCTGAGACTACAGCTGTTTTAAGTTCGGTAGTTCTGTTATATAAACCATCAAGAAATCAGAAGTTTGAAATGACTGGATTGGTGGAGTCTAGATCAGAATACTTACGCTGCTTCTACATCTTGATTGATCACTTCTGCTTGTTTTTCAATATGTTGAACTGCTACATCTTGTTCTTCTACCATGCTAGCCATCTGATAGAGTAGAGATATGATGTCAGGACACCTTAGTGATCAGTCTTTGCTAGGGTAGTGAAACAAGACATACATCGTTGAAGAGTTGAGCAAGTTCTGTGATAGTTTGTTCGATTCGTCTCATATCTTCTGCTCTTGATTGAACTTCTTTCAATGCATTCCGAGCAGATCCCATTCGATTAGAACTAACAAGCTAAATCATAAAGGATTATTATTTGATATTGTAACTTAAGAATAGATGTTAGTGATCAAGACTTACAGCTTGTTGAAAGACTGCACCTCCTCCATTGGCTTCATCTTCGACTGCCATTCTCACTTCTTCATCTGTTGCATTAGGTTTAACGATCCGAACCTGACGTTCGACTCTAGCCTTAATAGCTCTTCTACTATTCTGTTCGACTTCAGCATACCGTTGAACAGTTTCGACAAACCGTTTTTTCAATCCAGCTAATTGTTGAGTTCTAACATTTAAATTTTGTTCTGGATCACCTCTTTGTCTTAGTAAAGAATGATCAGCTTCATAAGATTGAATTTGAGATTTAATAGATTGAATGAGAGAACGGATTTCATCAGATAATTCAGCTGATTCGACTTGAGCTGCATTTCGATCTTCAGGTGCAGTTGAATCTAATCCTCTTCGATTCAAATCTCCAACCGAATCAATCATAAATTGTAATTCTTTTAAATCAGTTTGAAGTGATGCAATCGATTCAAAAAAATCTTCTGTTCCTGAAACCTCTCTGGGTCCATCTTGATGTTTAAAACTTCGAATCGCTCCCATTTCCATTGGTGGTTGATCTTCAAACGGATCTCGACCTCTCATCCGACGTCCTCCTGCTGGTGCTCTACTATAATCTTTTTCGTCTTCAAAAGACTGGGGTGATAAACGTCGTTGAGGATTACGTGGAGCTTGACGAGTACTAGGGTAAGAAGGTGGTGAAGGTGAGTTTCTGTATGTAATGTAGGTATGTATGATGATTTGGAGGAAAGAAGAATTAGAAATTGATTGGATGTTAGTTTTAATGAAATTTAATCAATAGATTTTTAAAGAATGGACCGGACCCGTAATTGTTGTTGTTATAGGAATCGTATGTGTCACCAGCACCACCTGTCTGGAAGAAAAAAAAAGTCAAAAAAAAAGTTTAAGATTCAATTGAATTAGTAGATAGTTGTTTTAAGAAAGAAAAAAAGGAACTTACTCGCATGCCAGCTAATCTATCACGAGCCATGATGATGAGTTAAAAAGAAGAGGATGAGAAGTTGGAATGAGTTACAATGAGAGAAAATGATGAAGAGTAGATATGTTGTATTGGTCTGTCCAGCAGTGAAGAGAATTGAATTGAATTGATTTGATTCCTGATTGAGTGAATGAGTTTTGTTAGTTTGATGAAGTGGTGAGAATAAGAATCAGGATGAGGATGAGAATGAGAATGAAAAGTTTTCGATGAGAAAGAATAATAATGAAAAAATGTAAAACTACAAAACAACAACAACAACAACAAGTCGAAAATTCAATTTAGTTTTACAATATTTCAGACTAAGACTAGACTGAAATCCAATTTGGATAATTATAACCAAGACTCAGTCACACTCACACTCATAGAAAGTTTACTAAAATTTACTCAATTCTTCATTCAAACTTGGATTCAGCAAAGTCGACAAAAATTGACTACCTATAACATGATATAGAAGCTTCTTATTTCACCTAACACACCCTAACTTGATCAAACGAGATCTTTTGTTTCAATGATACACAATGTCAGAACGGCTCTACACTGATGAACCTTGGGAATGGATTAAAACATCAATGAGCGCAGTCTGAGCGACATTGTTGATTCTGATCTTGACATGCCCATTCCTTGTGTGCTAGCCATGAATTCCAATGGCTAAAATATCCACAATGAGAGATAACCAGGCTTTGTTTAGTTCTAACTGAGAGTGATCATGAGTGATCTGATCTGATCTGATCATCATCATTTCGTACTACTACCTATGAAAAGATGAATACAAATTCAAACAAAGAGTAAGCCCACTCCACCATGCAATCAGACCAAAAGAACTTATCTTGGTACGCCTCTGAGTCTGGGGAAAAGCACAAAACAATCTGCCAGATGAATATCACCTGATCAATTAGGCAGGGCATAGGTAAGAATATCTTTTTCTGAAGACTGAGATGATAGATTACAAAGCTACAACTTTCATCAAATCAATAAATCATGATGATCAATTAATTAAATCAAGAATTCCTACTTGACAGATTTCTTGACCCAAAGAAATGGGGATCTCGTTATCAATGTTTCCCTATCCAAATGCTTCAAGATGAATCACATTTAATTCCAACAAATGCTCATCAAAACCCCGGGCCCAGCAAAAGTTTTAAAGATCCAATTCCAATTCCCCAAAAAAACCCAGTTTGATCATTCTCTTGTACTATTTCAGGATCCAGCTAGCTCATTCCTACACAAGTCAAACATTTCAATCTGATTCTTTTTTGCATTGGTATATATCTATTATAAACAAGCCTTAATGATCACTTTTTTTTATAATTTTTTTTAATTAAAAATAGAAGATTTCCAACTCCTATCCACAGATACAACAGGTCGTACAACCAGAAGCTTATGACTAGGCTGATCCATACCAGAGCCAATCACTTCCGTACCAGCACCCGTACCAGTCTCATAAGCTTCAGCTTGACGATCTTCCAACTCTTTGATTGCTGACTCTCTTACATCCCATACGATTTGAATGTTTTGAATTAATTCGGTTTGAAGATTATCAAGTTGAGTTTGAAGTGAATGAGCAATTCTATGAAGTCTTTCTGATGAAGCTTTTGCTACCTTATCTGAGCTTTGAGCATTACGTTGGATATATGAGATTAGTTGGACTAATGCTGGAAGTAAGGCTTTGACTTGATCTACGAATCATAAACATTAACATTCATCAATACTCAAACCTCCTTCATGATTGGTAATTTGAAACATATAATCTCAAATTAAAACTTACTTTGTAAAGATATAAGTTTCTCTAATGCCGTTTTTGATAATAAATTCAACAAATATTCTTCTTCATAAATACTTCCTTTCTTACCAGCTGCTTTCTTCTTTTCTTCTTTTTTACGTAACTTTCCACTTCGTCTAAACCCATCATTTCAATCAAGAAAAGTTCAAATAAGTGTCATCTTTACAAAATTATATTGTCTGCTTTTGTCTTAGATTCATCTCTTTCTTCTTTTTCACTTACGCTGAAGATCGTCCAGATCGCATCGTATAGGTAGAATGATGAGATGGTGCAATCCCACGAGTGTATCTAGAATAATCGGTTCTAAAGACTGTAGTTGCTTCTGTCATGGCATCAATCCCATCAAAGACCTCACCAGTCTCCTTATCTCGAGTCAAATAAAAGGCATCTATCACATTGAAAGAAAATGACCACATCAGCAGTGTAAACGAAACCAAAGTGATGCTTTGAAAATCACAACGCCACCTACCAGGTTCCGCCTCAGCCGCCAATTTAAGTTCTGCTAACCGATCCACCTGTTTCTGTGTGTTCTGTTGAGTTTCCTCAATCTCTTCAACTAGTAATTCAACATATTCCTCAAGGCTCGGTTGAACAAGTTCTATGAGTAATTCTGGTCTCGAATACCGAAGGGCCTGATATTCTCATAAAACTAAAGTTAGGACTTCATACTTTTGCATCAAGATATCAAATCAATCAAACTCAACTTGTCTGAGCGCTTCAGAATACGCTCTTCCATCACACAGCATCGTAACCCCACCTTTGACATCTCCTGCATAATCAAACAGGACAGTAGCTGATTCAAGATGCCGACCCGACTTCTCAAGCCGCTCTGCATCCCGATCAAAATTCACCATAAGCCTTCAAAATCTCACTCCAATATGTCACCGAGATCACTCACGAGCCATATCAAGGACAATCGGCTCACTAGCCATTCCGTCATTCCCGATTTCGACCGGTCGACCACATATCGATAAGAGAGAGAAAAGCTCTTGCCAAGCTTCCGCTTGTCGAAATGCTTCTGACGCTTTGTCAATCTTCTCCGCAAGTGTGTACACTATAAAGTTCACAAATTCTTCGCATCAACTCTCAATTCAGCTACTAACTGGGGGGCACTGTTTGCTTACCTAGCCCAGCCTCCATGTACTTTTGATTTTCCATAAACCAATCACCTTGTAGGTCTCGTAAAGCCTAAAGAAACATTCTTCAGAACCTTGATGACCAAAAAGAATCTATCAAACTCACTATGACTTTAACAGGCTGTGTTGAAACTTCTTTCAAAGCTTCTTCATACAAAGCATGTCTCTCAGTGTAATTCAAAATCACATCAAACTTTTCTTCCTGTGCAGCACATAAATGTTGGATTGCAGATCGATGATTACCCAAATAATCGTCAATCTTGAATTTCCTCATCTCTGGGTCAAGGACCCTTAGACTTTGTAAAAATGGTAGATACTCTTTCGGATCCTTTGAAGAGAATTAGAGATCTTCATCAGCATGACGTCAGATATACAAAATCTCAAAAAACAAACTGCACCTTTTGAGAATGTTGAGCAATCAGGACTACCAAAGAAAGATCGTACATTGATAAAGCTACTTTATATAGCTCATTAGCATCACTCAAGAATATAATGTATTTAATTGCGTCATCGACCTTTTCAGGATTTTCGACTGAAGGAAGTATCTCATCTCAGAAGATATCTGTGACATATGATTTCATGAGACAAACTTTGAGCTTACGTTTAATCTCGGACAACAAATTCAACGCGGAACGATAATCAGCAGGTTTTTTACAAACCAGTGCTGTTAAGATACTGTTGATGTACTCCAGCTTGTTTGATTTCTGACTGATCGCATCCGCAATCAATGTACAGATCACATTCACTTTGTTATCACCAAGAAGCCTGAAATCGTAAGTGAGTTAAACAAAAGATCAATTTCAGATAAAAAAAGAACAACGAAGTTGAAGGGACAAACCTTTTCTTATTCTCTGAGCTCACATCCACATTTGATTTCCTCCATCTCTTCGTAATAGGATATACTTGTTCAGTCACATCAATATTCTTTAAACTACTCAAGAACAGATTAATATGATCCACATCAATCACTTGTTCCACAAAATCTTTTGCACCATGATTCATAAACTTTTGAAAATCAAAATCCACCAATAAATTAAAATCAATCTTATGTTTTCTACATTCGATAAACGCATCTAACCATCTATCTTCAATCAACAGATCCATACAGATCCGTCGTAGGACCATAGGTCTTGGAAAGATGGTTTCCAAATTCCCTCGAGGCATCTGTAAGATGAGTTTCATTGAACTCGGTCTACTTGTTACAATCCGAGACCCACGCTCTACAGCTCTTGAAGCGTCTTTAAGATGAATAATCTCCAGCTCAGAGTTCTGTCTTGGATCTGTAGATGTTAAGTCGCCTGAATTCGAAAACTTGGCACATAAGTCAAGGGTATCTAGAAACTTGATTTGATGAGAAAAAGTGGCATAGATGAGGTAATTTGAATCGCAAGTGAATGAAGAACAGTCGTTTGCTATCATATGACTTCCCACATAAAGTTTTGCTGTGTGACTGAGACCAATGGGCAAGAAGGCTTCATGAGATGGATCGGCCCACAAGTGTTCAAAGGTCGAACAAAACTCGGGAAATCGGTGCTGGGTTGTCTCGATTCCAAAGTCCATACTCGGTTCAGCAGGATTTGAACAAACTGGATGCATATCAACAATGAGCTTGATGAATGTAAACTACTTCATAAATTATGATGCCTCACCTTTCACTACATTACCGGTATCAGTCTGAATGAGGGCTATATCAGCCACACTGGAGCCTGATAGCTTCCACCATCGTTCGGAATGAGAGGGTCGCAATGTACATTGGTCGCCCAGCTTGTTGGCCTCGGAGCCAGAATCGTCTTGCTCATTCAAAGCAAGTTTTTGTATATGAAGGCCATCTCGAGCTTTCATAGTTGTCTGTTCTATTTCGGTGAACAGGGCAATAATGACGACGCAGGACTTGCCTTCGATTGATGCAGCTTTTGACATACATACTTGACGGTAAGTGATTGGATTTGATGTGGAATTTTCTAACATGAATGTAAATAACTTGGTTGGTGTAGGTAAACGGAAATGAGGTTTTGCTTCCTGACTGCAAGTTAGATCCCAACGGTAACATGTTACCTCGCCATTCGGAAGGATAGTAGCAAGTCCAGGGAATGTAGCGCTGAATGACATGTGACTCGGAAGGCGCGGTAAGCAGGTTTTCACAAGATCGGGTGATATAGTTGAGATTTGTAAAGATGACATGGGTGGTGGAACCACTTGGTATCGAAAAGGAGACAAAAGTAGTTGGTCTATACGTCCATTCATTCACCAAAGCAAGTCAGCAAGAGAAGTCATTGCGCAAGAAAACGCTGCGAGGGATTTTGCTTACATCCATCAATGACAGCAACAGACCCAGTATCTCGAGGGATTGGAGTACGATCTGAGAAGACTTCCCAAGAAAACTGTCGTAATTCCATGTGACCTGGATATACAGACAGAAAATTCAGCCACCTGCTAGGTAACCACAAATCACCAATTAAACTTACTCGCGGTACCAAGGTATAGATGAAGAGGTTTTTCAGGATGCCACATTATGAAATTGAGGATACCTTGTGGATGCAGGTCAGACTGGATCTCTGACTTTAGATACCAATGATAATTGTTTCTCGTCCAGAGTTGAACTGCCGGAGGAATTAAACAGATCAATACGACATCTGTGCAGGTTTCTCAAGATAAAAAGTAAAAAAATAATACTGTAAACCTACCTGATCGTCGAGGAGTTGAGACAGGACTAGAGGTATCATCTGTGATCATTTTCTCCAGGCCGATAGCAAGAACAGTAGAATCAGAATTCCAGGCCAAAGCGAAAACTCTTTGGACACGATCTTCTTCCTTGAGAGAAAACCCATAACGTTGCAATCCATTACGTTCAAAGAAGATAATATCAACTTTATCGGTGGTCGGATTGTAAACAGATGAAGCAATAATTGAACCTTCCGGTCGCCAGGCTATGGGTCCATGTAATAAAAGTGGATTAATCCGAGTAGAAGTTGAAGATAATGAAGCTGTTCTAGAATAAACTTTGATAGAACGATGTTGACCAGTCTTTTGAGCGTTTGTAGGACAAGCCACCGCAAAGAAGGCTCCATCACCTCTCCATGTGATTTCGTAGAAATCTTGACCTAAATCTCTTGGAGCTCGAGTCTCTTGTTCTTCAATGGCGCTTTGCGCTTGTGCAGCTGCTTTACCAAGCGATCCGTGAAACTGAGTTGATTTTGCTCCCCAGCCCACATTCACTGGTTCATCTGATAATTTCAAAGAAAGTATTCATATATCAATACAAGATAATCATAGGTAAGACCAAGATAGGTTTGCATAAATGATACCCCATGCTCACTTACCACTTCCAAATTGAGCGAAATCGACTTCATGTTCAGATAGTACATCGAATGATTTGGTCAAAAGAATCAACTTATGAGAACCGGTAATGACCACCAGAAGTTCATCATCAGGACTCCAAGAAGCACAAAGGATTCCATCTTCAAAAGCACCGACCCCGTCGAACTAGTTAATGTTTTCAGATCAAGTGAACAGACGCGGTGAATCAGCTCAACCCGAGAAAACGTAAAGGTAGTGTGAAGTCATTCGTTTGCAAACTTGTAAAGGGTCTTGAGTTTCTTCCATTGATGGAATCGGACATAATGAGATTTGTCCATCGGCGGTCACCAAGCATAGTTGATCGGATTCCAAAAGGACTTTTAAGCTAATGATAAATCGCTCAGCATTCCGTGACGAGTCTTGATTCGCGCTTTCTGGAGGAAGATCGCTTGTGAATTGAGCTAGTAAAGTCGGCACAACCTGAGATTCGACATGATCGATGGTGAGTCAGTTACTTCCGACTTGCAAAGTCTTATGATCACTGACCCGATTGAGATGATTCAAATCTACGCCAAAGACGGATACTGCCGATGTAAGCGGATCAACTGTTCCAATGAAGATATTATCATTATCGGGATGAAGAGCGATGATACGTGATTCGTTAAGACCAAAGATTGGTTGAACTGATAAATTGAGTAGAGATAACATTTTTATAAATTCTTTTGGATGAAAATCAGTTTCAAAAAATTACCAAAATTTAAATTCAAAAGGCTGTCACGTCGGATTTAACGGAATTCTTAACATAAGGGTTTTCATTCCAAGTTCAACAATAACATCGAACTCATGACTTTGGCTCTCAGCTCTCCTTTCCTCAACTGTTCTATTTACCATGTAGTCCTTCTTTGAAGACCTTGACATGATGATAATAATTAGATTATCGAATATCAAATTCCGCAAGTCTCTCTTTCCGGGATCCAGCTCTTTTAGATTTCATTGATTTCTGCACTTCCGACAAAACTCAAGGGTGCACCGAAACCACCCAGACTGATCTATCAGGGCGCGCCTATATCAACCCGATTCTCATACTTGATTTGTGATCCAAAGGGTCAAATCATCAAGTAGTGCCCAAGCTTGAAAGCGAAGTGTATGATAAAGGATGAATATATGACCATCTAGATTGTTGAGACGTTTGAAGTGATCCATTTAGTCTCCTACAGTAGAGTCATCTTCGCTACCCAAATCAAAATGTTCTGGTCAAGCGGGTAAATCAGAAAAGTTTCATCTTAGCTTCAGACCCAAACCGATAATCTGGTGTTTGAAGTCTAAGTGGGTCATGTGGAATCAAGATTACCTTGATCACTTCTTTCTTCACTGATCCTTCATTCACTTCTTCTCCAAATTCATTATATTTCACTATTCTCGAATCCTTCATTCCTTCAACACCTAAACGAAAAAAAACAAAGAAGATGAAGTCATCAAGGTCAACCAACAGACCTCGATGGACAACCATTCTCACCACCCTACCACTCTATCTCTCTTTATTTTCTCAAACCTTTACTCTACGGAATCCCAAAGATTCGATACCTAAGTTAGAACGTCGAGCAGGTTTGAATATTATGGACCCAACTAATTCTGGAAAAACTGGTTTAGATCAATCTAATCCTCAATTAAAAGATCCTTGTGCTCATCTTGAATTAACACCTCAAACTTGGGTCGATTTACAAATCGATCAATATCTTTCGAATTATCCTAATGCTGATAAACTCACTATTCAGGTATAATCTCTTTATATATTGTTTTAATCTTATGATGCCTCTTCTTTGAATACCGAAAAGAGAAATTATAAATTGATGGATGATTTGTTGATGATCAGGAATTTGCGGCTGAATTAAACGTACCTAATTTCTTTTGTGGAATAGGAATGGATTGTTTAGCTGGACAAGTAAGTCAAAGTGTTTTCATCTATTCTTACTTTAATTTTTTTGATTTGATTATCACTAAACCGAATCTCTGATGATCATCAATAGTTATGTCAACCAGCTGTAGGTGTGAATTGGATAATTCTTTATGCTATACAAGAATGGAATAATTATATGAACTCTTTGTATCGAGCTATTGAAACGGCTGTGACTTTGATGAGAGGTATGTTACATCTTATGATCTGATAGTCATCACACTTGAGAATCTTTATTGACGCTGAATGCCAAACGTCTTACAGAAGCGTCTGCAGCTATTGTTTCCGACTTGTAAGTCTTTCCTCATACATTTTGAAATCCGTTTAGATTCTCGGTCTGATAACTGATGTAGTGTGTTCGCAGTGTTCCTCGAGTAGAGATTGACAAGTCATTATATGGATGGGCAGTCGGAACGGTGATATGTGGTGTCCTTGCCACTTTCTCTGGACTAGCCGTTCCCGCCTTCATGCCTCTAGACGCAATGGCCATGGTCAAAGAAGCCACAGCCTACGGTGTAGGTGCAGCTACAGTCGGTAGTGGAGCGATAGGCGCATCTACGGCTACTCTAGATGCTAAATCGGCTAAAGCTTATGATGATGCAAAGGCACTTCTTGATTCAAACAAAGGTGCTGAACTAGCTGAAGCTGAAAGAGCTAATGATATGAAGATCGCTATTGATTTTCTTACATCTGGTGGTCATCCTAAGACTGAAGAACATCCAAAGGATTGGGTTAATGCTGAAAAGATTAGGAAAGAAGCTCAGGTATTATTTGGAATGCCAAGAACTACCCCTCCTCCAGCTGGTCCTTCAACTTCGGGAGCCAGTTCTTCGTCTGCGGCTTTGAGGAAACGGACTTTACAACCTAGACATCTACAAAAACGAGGACCTCCAACTGCATTTGCATACGTGAGTTTTATTCTACCTTTCGTTACCTTTGTATTATGAAACCAAATTCTGACGTGAGCCTTTAATAGACTCAATGGGCATACCTCGATAGTCATCTAACATCTTTACAAAACCGCATGCAAGGAATCGTTTCATTAACCACTAGAGCAGGAGCCATGGCACCAATCTTATCAGATGGAGGGATGGCTTCGATCTTAGCAGAAGGAGCATTCTTATCTCCCAATCCATCGGAAGCATACTTGGCTAAACCTTCCAAAGAACTTATTCAACTTTCAGCTTTATCTGAGTTCTTTAAAGCTATTGTGAGTCAAGGTTTATGATCTACTGATTCGAGATTACATTGTCTGATTCATCTATGATCGGTTTGTAGAATATCTTTGTGACTATTGGAAGTGTGAGTAATTGGCAAAGAGAAGTATTGAATGAAGATCTTAAGCTCATTTGATTTCTTTCTTAGGACGAATGTAAATTCAAAGGTCCTAATGGAGCTTGGGACAGCCCAGGAAACTTATCATTTTGTACACCAGAAGGATTGTAAGTGAAAGCATTTCCCAACAGGATCTTGACCGCCTATCAAACCAAGAAATCTTAAATGGTTTAGTTTTCACAATTGCTGATTGATTACGAAATGAAAACAGAATGATGAACTTGATTCAAGCTCAAGGAGATAAAGCGATCAACGAGATCCCAAATGCAGATCTAATCAAATCAAAGTACGGATACACGGTTGAATTTTTAGCTAAATCAGCATGGGAATGTCAAAAGAAATATGGAATTTATACTTTAGGAAAGTAAGTAGTAAAGAATCATCAAGATTCTTACGCTGTTTTTTTTTTCGGTTGGATGTTTTAAAATTCTTAAGAAGAGTTGAAATTGATGATTTTCTTTGATCGAAATAGAGCTCCTCCTCCTGTAAGTATTAAATCAGATTGTGTATTTTCTATTGCAGTATGTGATTGTACTTTACCCGGTAAGTCAAAAAACCTCTCTTTGAAACTTATCAAGATCTCTAAAGATCCTTCAAAGACTAACTAAACCGTTAAATCACTCTTTAATTTTTATATCCAATTTCTACTTCAGAGGTAGCACATTTACGTAAGAAAAAGGTCAAGACAGTTAAAGCTTGTAGAAAAGCAGCCAATTTACCTATCTAGTCTAAAAGTCTACATTATGGACAAATCCTTATACACAACACTCACTCACCTACTCACAACCTTCATTCTCACACTCATTTGCGATCTCTCTCCTTGTCACATGAGTTTCCTTACATTCTTTACGTAGCTTGATTTTTTTCAAAGAAAATTTTCATACTTAGAATTTCATATTTAAGAAGATTTTGTTGATAAAGTTGGATATTTGTGACTTGACCTAATGAGTTGGATTGAAGATGATGAATTGATTCAAGGTTTATAACTTCATCAGATGGCCAGTTGGATCAAGTGGTGCTTCATGAATTTGATTGAACTTCTTATCATTTCTTCATATGATCATCACTCAATTTTCCAAAAATTGATGGTTAGTAGATCTTTTGATGGTAAAGGTCGATTAGATCTTACATTAAATCCACATCTTTCATATTTTCTGAAAGACTTGCACACTCTTGAAAGTTATCAATGTCTATTATCCATTAGATAACTCAATGAATCCTTTTCATTCAGATTTGCTCAGATTGGACCACTTTATAATCATTTATGATCATACTAAACAAAAATATGATTCAAGATTGGAATTGCAATTCAAACTTTTTAAAATATGTTAATTTAAAATAGAACAACAGGTTGAAGTACATATTGTAATTACACATCATTCCAAAAGAAAAAAGAAAACAAAAAACCCAAAACAAATCCATTGAATTGGTTTAATATCACTAAATTGAAAAAAAAAACTTACCAAAAGAAAAAAAAATAACTCGAAAGCAAAGAAGTTAAGGTTGTGATTGGATTTCCAGTGGGTTTTGACGATCCAACAAATTACCATTCAACTGTTCTTTAATCCTCAAAACCTTTTGTTTATCTAACCCTTTAACCTTAACGACCTTTACAAGCTTCTTTTCTTCTTGAATTCCGACTCCAAGAGTTTTATCCAAACTTTTTTCAATACACATTTGAGCGATTTGTAAGACGATCAAACCGGTTAAAGTCACTGAGATGATCGTATTGAGTGAAGCGATAGATTGGATTGTCATGATGATTGAAGAAGTCGGTCTTAGACTGGTTGGGGTTTGGGTGATTGTTAAGGGATCTGATGGGTTGAAACTTATGGGACTCTTGGGTAAGGTTTTTAGTAAGGGAATCACATGTGCGATTTCGACGATTATTGAAGTGATTAAAAGAACTGAAGAAAAAAAATACCAATTTGATGGTTAGTTTTGGATTAGACTTTTCGATCAGATTGATGGATTGACATACCTAAACTTGCTAAATCGAAAACGACTGAAATACTTGAGTTTTTTAATTTACTCAATAAACTAATCAATCCTATCAAAGTGATGAACTTAAAAACCATTAAAATATAATTCTGATTTGATGATGTTGTTGATGATGAGGATTGTAAGATTAAATTTGATAAGTTTGTATAATAAATTAATGAATTGGTGATTGGAATTGGTGAGATTGGATTTGTCCATAGTGTACGATGATCTACTGACCTATTTAAACAAAAGCATATCGATATTAGTTTTATGAGAGAAAGAGTGGTTTGTGAGAATGAAAGAGGTTAGTTTTGGTTTACCAATGTATAAATTGAGCACCTAGTAGGAATGAACAAGATGTTAGAACGATTCCAGTTGCAAGAGTCATGGTCTTAATCGTCTTTGAGGTTTGATTTCTTTGAGGTTTGATTTTTTGAATTCGATATGAAGTTGGAATTGAGTCTCCTTTTGATTAAGCCAAACATACTTCACCAAACTTGAACCCCTCTTCCTTCTTGGTCTATCTGTATTTTCAAACTTTAATCCAATTTAATTCAAGATTCAAGATATCACTCTGGCGCTAGGTAACTTGACTGAGTCCCTCTGTGCCTCGCGAGCTTGACTCTGGAGACTGGCACGCCACACTGCACACTGCACACAGTTCAAGTTCTTTTTGGAACCAATCAAACTTTACAATTTTATAAATTATTCTCTTCATTTGATCTTATTTTCTTCATATATACTTCAATTTTGCAAAAGATAAGAAAAAAAAACAAAAAAAACAATTTATTCAAACTAAACGAGTCATCAAGAAAAAAAGAAAAAGAAATTCCACATGCAAGGAAAGAAACAAAGTGTACAAGAAACAAAAAGAATCATAACGTGTTTTTTATAATTTCGTGTTTTTACTATTTAGGCTTAGGTAGGTAGGTAGGTAAAATTGCTAAGATAATCAAAGAAAGAGTGATATATGCATACAATTCTCTCTCACACAAGAAAAGATAAAGGAGTTTTAAAGTAAGTTTAGAGGGATCATATTGCTCTACAACAAGAAAAGAAAAAAAAGGAATTCATAAACCTTATTAAGTGTTTTGTTTACAAGTTTTTTAAACGGATGAGAAAAGAGAGAGACAAGAAAGAAAAGAAAATCATCAGATTAACTTTTGGACTTCAATTTTCATCTTCATCATCATTTCTTATGATGAACACAGTTCTCATGATGATTCTTGGAATGATCTTTTGGTTTCGAATTTTTCTTGGCATCGTTCTTATTGTTCTCATCATTGGTGTTGGTCTTTGGATCTTGGGTTTGATTCACAGGCGAATTGGTTTTCTTGAAATAAGTCAATCGAGTTCGGAAATTCGAATATGCAAAAAAAAGAAAAGCAAACCAAAGAAAAAAAATAAGTGAGCAAACACCGTAGTTGAAATGGTTTAAAGAGTTTCAAGAATTCCAAAATTGAAAGTTAATTCTTCATGTCTTTCAAAGATGTAAAACGTGAATTAGGATTCTTGAAGATAAACTTGCTAACCAATTTTTCTTTTTCATCCTTCACTTTAGCTAATTGTTCATCTAATCTTTTACCTTCTGCCAATAACTTTTCTTCTTGAACTGCTAATTTTCTTTCTTGTAATTTCGTTTTCAACGCTTCATCATCAGCCACCGACCAGTAGATAGGTAAAGCCGGTGTAGGTGGTGCAGTAGCTCTTCTAGTGGCCACTTCGGCGGCGGCTGCTGCTGCACATGCTGCAGTAGTCGCTCGGTCTTCGGCTCCTTTGGCATATAAAACAGCTGCGATCCTCGCTTTCTCTGCTCTTTCTAAATCAGCTTGAAGCATCGCGGCTTGTCCTAATGCTACGTCTCGTGCTGCGATAGCTTCTTTGGCTTCTTGTTCGAATCTAGCCATCGTGACTTGACTGGCTTCTCGTTCTGCAATTAATGTTTTATAGGTTCGTTCTTCTGTGGTCATTAATTGATTAATGTTTTCTCGATTTAAGTCTAGCCTTCGAAGTAATTGAGATCGCTCTTCACGTAACATATTGATCTGACCAAAAAAAACATAACCAAGTTTAGAAGAATCCATGATTGATTGGAAATCAAATGAAATGAACATACCTCTGTCTTACAACTAATCACTTCATTACAAAGCATCTCACGTTCGAATCGAGCAAAATCAGCACGTTCCAACTCTCTTGCAATCTCCATTTGCATCTCAACAAAACCATGACCTTCATACCCTATAACAAGAATTTAGGAGATTCCAATCAATAAGTCAATCAAGTATAAATTTCTCCAAGAAGGTATTTAAAAAGTGCAACAAACCTAAATTAGCCCATAATTCTCGAAGTAATAATAAAGCCGATTCAGGTAAATCTTTAGCAGCACGAGCCGAACCTGGACCAAGTGCTACAGGAACAGGTACAGTAGGATTGGGTAGGTTTTGGATTGGTGAAGGTTTGGGATTGATGATTGGAGTTGAAGGAGTGGTATGAGGTAAAGGTCTGATACTGGCTAGTTTAGCTTGTCGGATCGCTTCGGCATCACGTCTGAAAGCAATCGATTAGAAAACGTTAGAATGGGTTTGATTGAAGGTTTGGGTTTGGGTTGAGTTTACCTTGCTTGATCTAAAGCTGCTACTAATTCAGCTTCACGTCGTTTGCTTTAAAGATTTAGAAAAAGATGATCAAGATGTTAGTTAGTAAACTGGTTTAATGGAATCAAAAACATCATTTTGGAAAGAAACTAACCGATCAGCTGAGATTTGTGCTTCTAATTCTTCTAATTTCTTTTCAGCTGCAATGAGCTTGGCCGATTTCCTAAGAAGATTTCAACCAATTTTCATCAGTTTTTTAAATTCATGAGTATTGTAAACCAATTCAAGTAGAGAATTCAAAAACAAAAAGAGGGATATGGGAAGAGTGATTTGGATTTCATTTGTGGGTGAGTAAGTGATAATGTCTGAGACAGATACGAAACCGATTGTTGAAGATCAGTTCTGAGATGAAGATTGATTTGGTTTGATTGATTGTTTTTGTTGAATTGAGAATGATCGAATGAAAAGGATGATAAGAAATGAAACAAACTTACGCTAATGCTGGCATTCTTGGTATCAAAAGTTGAACTCTTTCAAGAATTCAAGAAAAGTTGAGGAAGTCGAAGTTGAGAAATGAGAAATGAGAAATCAGAAATCAGAAATCAGAAATGAAAAGGAAAAGAGACTGGTTTCAGAATCAGGAGTGAAGTTGTGTTTCTCTTTCTCTTTCTCTTTGTCACTCCTGGTTTTGACTTTAACTCAAACTCCGATCGGATGATAGCGGATGATACTTTCTTTCATGATTCAAACTTTAAAATCTCACTAGTCAATCATAATTTGCACTGCCTATGATTGAAGATTCTCAGGAAAATGCCCTAAAATGCCATCTTCTATAACTTTTCATCTCTCCACAAAATACATCCTACTTGCCAGATATGTGATGACATATGCAATCCAACTTCAATCATCACCAAGGAAAAGAACAACCTCACCAGTAGCTACAAGATGTGCAAAAGAACTGTGCTACGCAGTGTAAATATTTATTCAAACATCAAACAAAGACATTAGGTAATTGGTCTGAATAGCTAATTAAAACCCCTAACATGCTTCAAATTAAGATCATAGATATATTTGAATCATACCATATCTCTAGTAGCCAGATTTTCTCTCTGGTATCTAAGCAAACCACAGGCAAACCAATATTTGCAAGATTCTGAGCAACAAAAAGTATTCAATAAGGGAAGGAGCGCAGCTACAGCTCAATATACAACCCTTGATATCTTTCACTTCAAAACCACCTCAAAACGATCTCAAAACAATCTCAATTCAATATCAAATTGACCTCAAGATCAGTTTGAGTGGGGGATATGCATGAGCTGCAGATCCACCTGCAGCTAGTTCAGTAGTACAGCTGCAGATGAAAATTGATCTTCCAAAATCTTCCAACAGCTTCTTTTAAATTGCTCAGGATGGTAAATTGCATTCTGAGAACTTCTTATGCAGCAAAGTTTGAACTCATCAGATATCCTTTCTTAATATCCAGTCACATCTTATAATGGACTCATATTTCCAATTCAATTACAAACCATGTTGAGCTTGATGGGATCAAGGCCTCATGATCCTTAATAATTTGAATGAACAGAGTTGTTAAAACAAATGCTCAAGACTAAGAATGATACAAGTGTTTCCTTTTCTCTTACTTTGTCAAATATTGAAAGCTTCACATTATTTATTTGATATGCTTTGTGTACATACCAGGTATCAAAAATAAAAATTGATGAACAGATCAAACACGACACAGTTCATGAATGAGACTCTTGAATTTTTGGAGATAATAAAGGAATGAAAATTTTTCGAACCAAGAACAAGTGGAAAAGGAGAACTTTCACATTGAGGCCACATCAAAACATCTTGTTACTCTCATGGTTATTCGATATCCATGGCATCGTCTTCCAGATTAAGTTCTTGCACAAAGCCCTGGAAAGTCGAAAATTGGATCAGGAGACTTTTACAGGGTGACTCTATTGAGCGCACTGATGATCTGAGGAACTCACCAGATTGTTGAGCTGCACTATTGAAAGTGTCGGGCAAGCAATATCAAATGTACCTGCCGTGTTATGTTGTACAACAAGCTGGCCAATCACCTTGTGACATGGAACAACATGATAACCCTCATGCAAATCATATATAACTGACGCATTAAGCAATCTTGGCAAGGAAGCATAGGGGTCCTTGTGCTTGTCTTCAGTATTGAGAAGCTTCAGAGATCTGACAACTAAAACCGGCTGGGTGACATCAGGAAGCTTGACAATGTCTGTGATATTACCAACCCTGTTACATGAGTCCAAAGAGTATGATATATAGCTGTTTCCAGGATTTTTGCTGTATGTACTATGTGGCTTGTTAGAAATGACAAGGCTTTGGGCGACTTCAAAGCTGGATGCAGAAGTTTTGTCTGGCCCAAGAATCCCAAGTTTTTGAAGTGCATCAAATGCTTGAGAACCGAGTTTTTTGACAGTCCACTTGGTCCGGCGGTTTTGTTGTAGATATTCTTTGATGATAGGGTCCGCGTCAATGGTAGGATGGCTATTTGTAATCATTGCTTGAAAGAATCCACGCATTGAATGCTGTTTGAGGAGGGTCTCACCGACTTTCCCTACTCAAAACAAGTGGAGTCAGTTGCTGCATCCTACTTGTACAACATTACGAACAAACACACTTTGATTTCCGTTCTTTGAGGTCTGCACAAGGGCCCCAATGATCCGCTCACCTGACCAGCTAGCTGTGTAAGCTGGAGGCCCAAGAATTGTGGAGATGTGACCAATATGTTCTGCAAAATGTAAGTTGGGCTTTTTCTTCTTATGCGGCCATCCATCCCCTAGGGTAGCTTGATGTTCCTCAACCAAGGTGGTAATAATTTCTCCATCTCCATGCTGAAAAGAACGCTGCGTACACATGTTGCCAATCTGAATAAGCTGAAGGAGGCTAGCTAGGATTTTAGCTGATGTTGATGCAGGGTCTCCACCTTTGAAATGAGGTATCCAAGCTAGTACAATAAAGACTTTGTATAAGGAATGCCATTCAGCAGCTTTGGGAGTGCCTGCACTAGCCATTCCAAAGTTCTTCTGAGGTCGAGTGAGCCAAGAAGGGCCTTTGGCATTCTTAATACAGCGTTGAAGTAAATCAAGTTCATAAGAAGTGATCTCGGGAATGATGGCTGGAGGTGGGGGTGTGGGTGATCGAGAGTGGTCCGATCCATTGTGATTTTTCTTTTTACCTCTAATTGTATGGTCTGATCCAGCTGAAGATGCCATATCCCGATGAAGATTTGAGGATACGGCTGATCGAGTATCATAAGAATGGCGGGAGGGAGGCTGGGGAGGAGGCATTCCGCTTGTGGAAGCTGCATCATTGGTTCCAGGTGGACTAGGGGATGCCGGTCGAGGGAGCTGCACATCATACTGCCGATTACTAAATTCCATTTTTTCTCGCTCAGCTTCCAGAGCCTTGCCAGCAGCAGGTACTTGAATATACTGTGTTGAAAAGTCTTTGTATAGCCCAAGGAATATGTTGTGCATGATATCAACTGAAAAGAATTCAACAGCCTGCCAATATGGCAGCTCATGAAGGATGCTATATCGCACTCCAGTCGTCTTGGCTAGTTTAGCTTGCTCATTTGCAGTTTTGGATTGTTCCCATTCCACGGCTTGCACCTTGACTCCCTCAGAAGTACGAAGTTCAGCCTTTGGTGCTGGAGATTGAGAGTGATAGAGAGGCCGGTCTATGTGACAGAGAGAGCAAAAACATGTTGACGAGTGTGAAGTTCCTCCGGTGACCTTCTTCATAGCTGGAACATCGCCATGAATAGGCCATAGTGCAGCACGTAGGGTGCGTCCTTTAGGATACTTTGATGTTGACGTAAATTTGATGCCGTCCCAGAACTCTGACATTTCGTTGACAAGTGGTTTGAGGAAGTGATTCATCTCTGAGAGTGATGGTTCAGATGGGCCTGGCATGATACCATAGATGCAGATGTTCTCTTTTTTGTATCGTATTGTTGGAGGAAGGTTGAAACATGTCAGAAGCATCACACCAACTGAAGTCTTGGTTGCTGCATTCTTTCCACCAGGATTGAACCAGTCACACCATAATCCAAATACTAGGTTACCAGAAGTTGAGGTAAAGATGTACCTGTCCTTTTTGAAAGTTCTCCATAAAGTACCATCCCATATATCATCCATTCTATTGTTGGCAGGCTGCTGCCGATTAAAGTGTGCGTCAATTGCTTCTTCAAAGTAATGGTACTGGAGCATCTTTCCGAGCCATGAACGTAATGACTGATAAAAGAAGAGCCGAATCGGTTTTTGAACTGCACCAGAAGCTTTCTCATAGAGAGGAGATTCACATGGTTCTCGGCCAAGAGTAGTTGACGCTTTGGTGGTAAATCGTGGGACATTGCAGAGTGGAACTGGTGATGCATTGAGGGGTAAAGGTGCTTGAATGGAAGACAAAGCACAGCAGAATGGGCAACACGTTTGCGATTGTACAGATGGTTCAAGTTTGAGCGTCTTTAGAAGGGTCGGAAGGCCTAGAGGAATCTCCTTCCAAACTTCGTTGCTGGTTGTTGGATCTTGGATGAGCTTTTGCTCCTTGACACTCTCTCTAGCTTTGGCAAGACTTTTGTTACAAGCTTTGACCCCGACATTATGGAACAGGTGTTCCTTTGCAACCTTGAACATTTCACGCATGCAGAGCGGATCCTGCAAAAATCGACGTGGGGTGGAAGTGGTGATTTCCGTGTGACCGTGATCTAGTCGTGGAGCTTTTGGGTGGCGAGGGACTGACACCCCTTCATCATCTTCAGTATCTCTAGCTCGTTTGTTGCTGCGCATAGGTGTGGCAGCTCCAATCGGTGGCAGTGCGGGTTGAAGTACTGCAAGACTGGTGGAAGCGACCGGAGTATTGCCAGCTGAGGCCTGCGATATGTAAGAGTCTTGTCAGGAAAGTTCAAATTTTGATTGGAGTATGGATGGGTAATCCTACAGTGAGAATGGAGGACTGGGCAGAACTAGGCAGTTGATTTTGTTGGGTAGGGTGGTTGCTAGGAGGAATAGGCATGGAAGAGCTGGTTTCCAACAGTCTGTTGATTTCCTCAAGGTGCTTTGGATATCTTGTACGGCTAAACAATCGGCCTTCATGGACTTTTCCCATGTACTCAATCATCTTTTGTGAACAACCAAGTTGGGGACATGAACACAGTATATGTTGGGGTCCAAGGGCAGTAGCATGGGTTCCCAGTGTGATGGGCATATTGGTGTGAAAAAATTTGTTTGCAGTGAAGATGTTGTGCCGGTGGAATTGATTTTTGGGTGAGGTATTGCAAAAATATAACTTATGACTTGGCTGCTAAAATTCATGTGGGGCATGTGGGGCAAGGGTTAGGGTTACATAACCCTAAGACTATGTTCAGTTTTCTACAAAGATTTTCAAGTTACAGCTCTTGTATCAGAAACAGATAGAATGGCTTACAAAGCTACATATCATTTGTATTCAAATTTCAAAATACAG